AGGGATCAAGACAGGACAGGAGCCTGACGGCCAAGGTAACAGGATGAGGAAGAGATGCTGGGCTCAGCCCAGGAGCTGGGAGAAGAGTAGAGAGGCTAGTCCCCCACACCACTTTCTGGCCCTGGCTGATCCCTGCCCTGCTCTGTTCCAGGATATAGACATCAACACAGATGATGAGCTGGATGCCTACATCGAGGACCTCATCACCAAGGGGGACTGAGGGGCCGGGAGCCAGAGATCAGCTCCCCTGCCCACATGCCCCTCAACACAGCAGCTTCAGGGAGGGAGATTTCATTTATGGATTGATGGACTTTTGATTTGATTCATGTGAGACATTTGTGCTTTTTGAAGGACAGATATCTTGATTCTTGGAATCTTCCTCCCTAAGTTTATAAATATTTATTTTTTAAAAAAAAACAGGCTGTGCTTGCTGTGAGACCATATGTTTTTTTTATGACTCTTGGGTAAAGAACAGAACCTTTATACTTTGGCCATACTAGGTTGCCACTTCAGCTTCTGGGTCCTCAAAATACTGGTGAGACCAGCATCCTCAATTTGGAGAGATACCGGGGACATCAGTCGTTTCTCTCTTAGAGAATGAACAACGGAGGGATTTGAGGAATGGGGGTGGGAGAGAACCTCCCAGAGTGGTGTGGCCAGTAGGGCTTCAAATCAGGGAACTCATACAGGACTGGTCAGCAGGTTTACCATCATAGAGACTTTTCTTCTTAGAGCTTTGCTATCTCACATCAGGGCTGTGAAGGTCTGTAGTTAGCCCCAAGTAGCTATCAAGAGTCATCCTGGCTGTGGCATCGCTCAGATAGTTTGGGGAAGAAAGATCTTGCTAGTTAGCTCTCGCATCCTCACCCAAGTTCTCTCTAGAGGACTTTGCTCAGTTAACCATGAACTATGAGGTTTCCTGCCTCAGCTTGAGTCCAGATTGAGGAGACGGCTCCAACTGGTCAGATTCCTGACCTGGGTAGCACTTTGAGTGTTTAATTCCAAAGGATTCCTCAGGGAAGGAGCAGGTGTATGAAAGAGCCCTGGTGCTGAGCTGGCAGAATATTCCATCTGCGTCTACCTCAGATGGTACAGGTCCCTAGAGAACCTGCTACTATTTTTCTGCTTCCTTCTGCCTAGCTCCACCAAGGTGTACAGCCCCGAGTGCTAGACAGTCAGAAGGACCTGCACATTTTCAGGGTCTCCAGTGGCAGCTCTGCAGGAAGCTCATCTTGCCTTCCCTCCCTGTGCAGACATAGCCTCAGAAGCCATGTCCTTCAATAACTACTCAGGGTCAGGCAAGAGTTGCTGAGTTTTCTCTAATGGCCACTGGAAGAATTCTGGTTCCATTTCCTGCAGGTTTTTTCCCCATTCCTATCTGTGGCCTCTGAAGGCCTGGTTCCACTGATGCAAACTTCCTTGGGTGTGTTTTCATCATTAACCTGACCCAGGTCAGCACTGGCTACGTTGCTGCCCAATGACGTCTGCAGAAGACTAAGAAGCAGGAGAGACTTGAGTCGCCCTGGAATCCAGTCTCTCTCCACTTGTATACGTGGCTGGAGGTACCTATGACTCGTAGATTCTGGGCTCCCCCAAATCATATCTGCAGGAGAGGATAATGTGGGGAAATAACCATTCAGACATAGTCTTTCTCCTCTGGAACATTCTCCAACAGACTTGGAATTCCTCCTCCTTCCTGCTGTCTGTTCACCCTAGGCAGTGCATTGTCCATTTTTGTCCCCAAACCTGTTTTAATCTAAAAGGAAGATGGTTCTGTGTTTTTACTTGAGTCATACTCAAGTTTTTTTACTTATGTAATCAAAATGCAATATAGTAAGTCCCCAACTTACGAACATTCAACTTGCAAATTTCCACAGATACGAACAGACCTCACATTACGAACATTTGTAGGTGCGAACAAATCATGGAAGTAGCTCATGTGTCTGCTGGACATTGTCACAGTTATACTACCTACTGTACAGTGTGATAGTATGCAGTAGTACAGTGCTCAGTCAGAGCCCGGGACGTCTAGAAGCAAGAGGAAAAGCAGTTGTGATATGGGGGTGGGGGTATGCTAGGAAGCACAAAGCAATAACCATGGAAACAAAAGTGAAAATATTTGAGAGACTGGACTGAGGCAAAAAGATGGTAGATATCACTTGTTCCTTTTTGTGTGTTTGGTTTTTTTATGCTTTACATTGTATATTTGTGTCAAAGGTGTATAAAACTCACTTTGTGGGACTTAAGAATGAATCCAATTTAATGAATGTTCTCCAAGAATGGAGCTGGTTTGTTAAGTGGGGAACTTAAGTGTACTGTAAACTTCTCCTCATGAGACTTCTGAACGCAGTGTGTGTTCTCAGTGAAATCCAGCACCTTCCAGCTCTATTCTTTTTATCCTGTGGCTTTTAACCAGTCTTCAACATTTTCTTTATCTTTACCATCTTTATGGGTTGAGCCTCGCCCTCCTTAACACCCACAGAAATAGACTAAATTTCTTAAACGTTTCAGCTTCAACTTCTGGATGTGCTTAATCCAACCTCAGCTTTGCTGAACAGCCTGTTTTCCACTCAAAGACCTTGCTGTTTTAAATGGGATACAAAATGCAGGTCTCCCCCTCCTCTCCTGGCATCATTACAGGACAGTTGACTGGCATGCACCTGTCTGGCAACATGAAAGGAAGAAAGAAAGTCTGGCTCATCTGTGGAAGGAAGGTCCTTAGCACAAGGGTGCAAGAAAGTGAGGGCAGCAACCTACTTAAGGAGAGAGATGAGGATTTTGGCTGATTGGCTGGTTTGGTTTTTTTAAGTCATGTGCACATCGTTAAAAAAATTTGTGAGCCAGGCATGGTGGTACATAACCTGTAAACCCCACACGGAGGCTGGACCATGAAGAGCAAGGCTTCTTTCTACCCCGTTCTCAAATCCTCTGAGTGTATCCATCCTAAGTACTCATGCACACACACACACATTCTGCTGTATTCCACGAGTGGATTTTAGAACCTGATTCAGAATAGTTGAGAAGGGTCTACTTTCTTCTTCTAAACAACCACAGAACATATCACTGTTCTGGATGTGTTGTAGTTTAATGTTCCCTTGTGAACATTTGGGTTGTTTCTAAAATTAGAAAAACTGCTAAGTGTATTTGCTCATTAACTTAGATCTATATTTACAGAGGGTAAATTCCAAAAAGGAAAATGGTTGTCAGTGCATTAAAAATTTTAAGCTACACTCACACACTGCTTTCAAGGAAAAACTTCCAGTGTCAGCTCTTACCAGTGCAGCTTGACAGTATGTATGTAACTCTACTAATGTGTAAGTTGATGGATTGAGTCCATGTGAATTGGTTTAATCAATGAGAATTAATGTCTTCATTGGCCAGTTTCTCTTCTGATACAGGATAATACGTAGCTCTGAATTTGGGGTTAGGGAACTTTTTGTAAATAAGATTTAAAAAATAAGGTGCAGAGTCCTCAGGAAAATGTCTGCCTTACAGGACTCCTCAGCCCCTAAATGTTCCAGGGATTTCAGATTAAAAAGCTCACTTTGTCTATTACTAGGTCAGGACAAGGGTATGACATTTTTGTTTACTAAAAGAAATTAAAGAGTAATGGGCTTAGAAAACTTTTCTGCTTCCTTAATCTGTTCTAGCAACACTATTTTTTGCTTTGTTAGCTCTACTTCCCCCTCCCCCTTTATTTGAATTTCAAAACCCAGGGCTGAAGTAGCATTGCCCAAGAGACCGAAGCTCTTAAGGACCAGTGTCAAGCCTGTTAGCTTCAAACTTTTTCCATTTACACAGAACTCAGGGTTTGACCTGAGCACTATGCTTCCACTTTGCAGCTGAGCCAGGTTGTGAGGGACTTATTGACAAGTCTCCAAGGTTCCTGAAACACTGAAAATTCCACTGTAGGGTTCTGGCCTTTGTTGGAGGTGGAACCTCTGAGGCTTTCTATAAATGGCCACATAGATTTTGGTTCTTGGAGCAGTTGTGCAGCCAGCTTGGCCACAGGAGGTAGAACGACAAAAGAATGTGCCTTCAGACTGGTTACTTTAGGCTCTGCTGGAGGCACCCTCTCTGTTGACCTGGACAGACCACAGGACAAGGACCTGGCAAAGCGCATCCCAGAATGTTGCCAGGCCTGCTTTTCAGTCCAGCTGCTATCATTCAGTAACTTGCCATCCATGAAACAGGCCCAACCAGGGCCATGGCGAATCCAGCAGAAACTTCCTTCTTCCTATTCGCAATGCCTCAGACAAGTCACTCCATTCTGGCTCTCAGTTCTAAAATGAAGTGGTTGGATGATGGTAGAGGTTTTCCAGTTTATTTAGCTCCAGGGCCAGGTCTCCACCTGAAATTTATCCAGCCCTACTAGCCAGTGATACTGGAGCTGCTCTGGCTGAAATGGTGGGGGCCCATTGCCTCTTGTTTCCTCAACCTCAATCCTTACTTGGGAGTCCACTTAGCTGTAGGCCTGGAGGTGCTTACTCAGTGACTCATGTCGGGGTAATATGCGTTCACCAGGGCTACCATCATGGCCTTCTAAACATTTAGCCAGTATCCCCCAAGGATGAAGGCTAGACTTCCAAGCAGTCTCCATGATGCCTATGATTTCTTGGGGGCTCTGGTATTCTCGGTAGCGGCCAGACAAGGTCTGGGCCAGCGGGGAAGTTCATACCACTTGGGCAAACTTAGAGCAGCAGGACGGTAGGGAACCAGCAGACACATCCACCCTCCTCTCCTGTGCCCTCTAGATTACTGAGCTACTTCTGAAGGTCCCCATTGGCTGCAGATTTCTCTCCAAACTGGCCAACTCTCATCCCCTACTGTGACTCATCGTCCTTCGTCCGCTATTGAAAGTTGTGAGCTCTTGATCCCCTCCCTAATGCCTGACAAGTTAAACCACTACTAGGCTAGGTTTTGGGCGCTAGTTTTTGAGTTCCTAGTTTTTGAGCTATCACAGTACAACACATGCCCGAGGGCTGATTGTAAATTCTTACCTGACTCAGACGAGGCTAGCACTACAGCACTCTTGAGGTTTTGCGAGTGGCCGACGTCAGCTCTATCCGCGCACTGGCCAACGGCAGCTTTCCGGATAACGCCCTTGGCACCCCAGACTCTTAAGCGGGGCCCAAAGGCGCATGGGCAATTGTTGCTAAGCGCCCCCACGCCTCAGCCGCGCCCTGCGCATGCGCTGTGGAAGCTTGCGGCTCTTGCGCACGTGCGGACACGGGGTCTCGCGGGGCTCCAGTCATCAGACCGTTATCTCAGGAGCCCCGAGGACCTCTCCCTACTTCAGAGCTGCATATTCGACTCCAGGGTGGAGATGAAACCTTCATCCTCAATTGTTTTCCAACTTTTTGAGAGGTTACTAGAGATTTTTTGTTTGGTATAGATGCGTTTCTGGCTGGGCGTCTTTATTTCTGCAAGGCGAGGACTTGGAAAGAGGCTGCTTGTTTTCCCTTTTGCCTTAAAGGGCTGCGCGCCAGCCTGTCCGCCTCTCTCAGCGCCTGACCTGAGAGCGCTCGGGTTTTCACGGCCCTTATTTTCTGCAGGTTTGCCCTTGGCTTGGTTTGCGATGTGTGTTGAAAGGTAAGCGTTTTTAGGTTTGTGTGTTTTCTGTCATGCTGAGGAAAATCCACACCCCTTTCCACCAACGCTTCTGCTGCAGCGTTAAGTTTTTCCGTCTAAATCACAAGCAAGAATCAAACTTTGTCGTCCCCCCGCCCCGGGGTGGAAATTCACTTATGATAGCTCCTCCTATATGAACCATTTGGGCTATTTGTATTTGCTTGGTTTTGGTGTCAGTGGGGTTGGAGACGCCTTTTAGGACAGTGGAGACGCCTGTCTTTACTTGCACAGGTGAGTGCGATGCGAGGCTTGAAGATGTAGCTGAAATTAATCTTGGCAATCCTCAGTATCTAGAGGGATAACTTTTAAAAGAAAATTTCAGGCTATTCGTATGCTCTCGTGGAATTTTAAATTGCTTGATGCAATTCTTTTTTTTTTTTTTTTTTTTTTTTTGGTACCGGGAATCAAACGCAGGGCCTCGCGCTGTGCCGCCGAGCTGCGTGCCTGGTCCGCAATTTTCTTCTATACCAGTCTTTTAAAAAAAGTTTCATTGGGACTTAAATTATAATCGTATTAAATGTAAATGTCCTGAGAATGTTGACATTTTATGATATTAAATCTTCCCAGAGGATATGAAATGGTTTTCCACTTGTTCAAGACTTGTTTTGATCCTCCAATAAGATTTTATAGTTTCTTTACATGGGTTCTATAACTTTCTGGGCCAACAAGATATTTGTCTCATTCAGCTTTTTATAACTTTCTGGTTATAAAATTTTACTCAGGTTTTTGTGGGTTTTGTTGCTGTTGTGATGGGATTTTTTTTTTCCTAGTGCTCATTATTAATATGGAAAAGAGCTGTTACAGACTCTGGGTAATTCTAAAACTAAACCTGTTTGTTTGGGTTTTTTGTAAATACAATTTATAAATTTGCCAGTGTAACAAGTTAATTGCCATTTAGTTTTACTGGTGAAGACGGTGAAGGAAAAAAAAAAAAAAAACGTTTAGTTTTACTGATCAGCTCTGAAACAATGTTGAATCACTCTGGGTCTTGTTTCTGATGTGGATAAGATCTACATGGGAGGGCTGAGCAGGACGTTTGGCTGTTGGTTTTGGTAAATGGCCTTGAAAGTGTTAAGGAAGTTTCCTTACCCGTGTCTTGGCCCTCTGAACTCGTGTGTAGCTGCTGTCCTGAGTCCGACCAACCCCGGGGGCAGCACTAAGTATAATGAGATGGGGGTTATGTCCCCTGGAGACGGGCTGATTTTTGTCAAGTGCCTTTTCACCATCTATTTAAAAAGCAATATGGAATTGAATATTGTTTTTTCATGTATGTACAGCCATTTGTACTTCTTTTGAGAAGTCAGTTCGTTTGCTCATTTACTAGGAGTTTTTATGTTTCTGTTTTAGTTCTTTATGCTGAAAATTAATCCTCAGAAGAGCAGCAAGCAAAGATTTTCTCCCATTCGGTAGGCTGTCTCTTGGCTGTTTGCTTCCTTAGCTTTGAGAAGCCTTATGTATGCATGTCTGAATCTGCCAAAATGGAACCCATTAATCTATATAACTAATATGCACTATTAACAAAAGAATAAGGCACAGTAAATCTAGTCTGTCTTTAAAAATCAATTTAAAAAACCTATATGGAGTTTTCTCCTGAAAGCTGTTGTTTTATTTTTATTAGAAAGTGAGTAGCCATAAATATTTACTGTGTAAAGCTTTTATAAATTAGGAAGATATACAAGTGTTACCATCCAGCTAGTGGATTCTTTTCTCAGCCCAGATAGAATTACAAGGCAAAGAGTCGAGGGGACTGAACGAAAGTATGTATTGTAGAACAAGATCAGAAAGCAGCATTTATTGTAAAGCAAAATCAAAGGGCTCCCAGACAAATAAACCTAGGAGGGGCCCTAGACGGTTGTCCAAGGGACTCTTTTGTCTAGGGGTTTTTGTACCCCAAAATGAGTACATCTTAGCCAAGTTGAGATCAACCTATAGGGTTACAATGAGGCAAATTTGATGTAGAAGTAGGTCAATAGGGGTTTGGGGTAGGTAGCAAGCACCATTAACTGTAACCTTAAACAGAACAAAGATACTCTTTACAGAGATATGAATATCTTATTTTTAGGCATGAAAATCTTGCCAATCCAATGAGGCCGTTGCTTGCTGATCGCAAAGGTGTCTGTCCTTGGTCGTTGACATGACCTTCACGGAATCTTTCTCTTTGGCTTGGCCTCCTGGCTGCCTATATCTCCATTTGCTAGGACCCGGCTTGAAGCCTCTACACATACACAAACTGCCAGGCTACAACTCACTTTTTAAATTGAGTCAATTTATGGCCTTCAGCTATCTCCTAGAAGTTGTAGTCTTCTTATGAATTACAATTGTTAGTTATGATTTCCTCATCTCCTTTTTATCTTTTATTTTTTCTATCCCACCTACAAGGAACATCCATCTCCTGATTTATTATTATAACTTTATAAATCCTTACTAGTCTCTCCTGAATCTTTCCTCCTTGCTCAAAGGTAACCCACACCCTGAATAATGATCATTTCTTAATAATTGTTTTGCTCTGCCTGCTTTTGAACTTAGGCAGACATAACATTTTATTTACTATTTTGCAGTTTGCTTTATATTTCCACTATTGTGTCTCTGCAATTCATCATGTTGTTGGGTGTGGGTGTAATTTATTCAATTTTCACCACAGTATGGAAAAAAAGGAATTACCCTGACAGTTGAACATGCTTTTTTTTTTCAAATCCATGCTCCTATAAGTGGCACTTCAGTTGAGTATTTTTTTAATTTTGTTTTGTTTTTCTTTTTTCAGAGCAGCTGTGAAAATTCTTGATTCCTGTTGCCATGTAAGATATTCTCCCTAGAGTGTAATCACTGAAGTAGATTGCAGAGTCATAGGTCATGCCCATTGTAATGCCACATTTTTTCAGAAGTGGTTGTATCAAATTTCATAACCACTGGCCCTGTAACTAGATGTATATTTCATTTCTCTACTTCTTCCCCAAGAGTATTGCTAGACTTGAAATTTTTACCAGTCTGTTGGGTATGGAGTGGTATCTCATTGTGGCTTAGTTTGCATTTTCAAGCACCTTTTCTTATGTTTATCGAGCATTTAGTTGTTCGTGGTGAAGTGTTCAAGACTTTTGGCTCATTTTTCTATTCTTCTGTCTTTTGCTTGATATTTTTGTATATTATGGATACAAGTCCTTTATACGTTATCTGTGTTGCAAATTTCTTCCTCCACTCTTTGGTATGTCTTTTGTTACTCCCATTTTAGAGTCTTTGGATAAACAGAAATTCCTGATTTTAATGTAGATTAGTTTATCAAGTTTTTTTCTGCATCATTTTCCTTACTTAAGAAATTTTCCCTACCCTGAGTTCTTGAAGATATTATGTTATTTTATCTTACATATACAGATCTTTAATTCACCTGGAATTGGCTTTGTGTATGGTGTGAGATAAGGCCTCCCTTGCACTTCTCTCCCTTCCCTCCGTCTCACTTCCCTCCCACCCTCCTCCCCTCCCTCTCTCCACCTTCTCTCCTCTTCTCCCTCTATTGCTCCTATGACCTTATTTTGAAAATCTTTTCTTTACAGTGCTCTTTTATATACCAAGTGTTTATATATTTATGTATATGTTTCTGGAATTAGTTTTATTTGTCTTTTTATGCCATACTGATTTAAATATTTATAGCTTATATTTAATACAGCCAGTTTTTCCACTTTTTTCTAAACTTAAGAATGGTTTTAACTATTCATAATCTTTTGTATTTCCATATAAATTTTAGAATCATCAAGCTCCATAAGAAAACCTGTGAAGGTTTCATTGGAATTATTTCCCATCAATTTAAGAAGAAATAATATCTATAAATCTTCCAAACTATGTAGATGGTATAATTCTTGCATTAATTGAGATCTTTCTTTAGTGTCACTCAAATATTATTTTCCTTTTAGGTATCTTGTATGTCTTGTCTGATGTATCTTATTATCCTATCTGTAGGTTCCTTTGTATTTTCTGTGTGATATCATCTGAGTAGTGATAATTCTGCCAATTCTCATACTTCATACAAATATTTTTCTTGCCTAATGACATTGGCTGTGACTACCGACACAGTGTTGTATACACAGGGTGAAAGTGAGCGTCTTTTTGTTCTCTGTCTCACAAGCAGAGAGAATGTATGTGTATAGATATTAATCACATTGTGAAAGTTTCCTTCCATACCTAGTTCTAATTTTTTCTTTAATATCATGGATATATGTTGAATTTTGCCTAAAGTGTGTCCTTTGAGATGAACAAAATGGTGGTCCACTGAGATGACCATATAGTGTTTACCTTTAGTTTGTTAATTACATTGGCTAGTTTTGCTCAGGGTAAACAAATCTTGTATTTCTGTAATATAATGATCAGTTTTGCATATTGTTAGATTTATATTTTATTTTGAATTATAGCATTATGATTGACACTAGTTTGTAATTTTCCTTTCTCATATTGTCCTTGTCAGGTTTTGATGATCAGTTTTGCTAGCCTCAAAAAATGAGTCTGGGAATATTACTTTTTCTGCCCTTTGAATAGTTTCTGTAAGATTGAAGTTACTTCTTTATCATCTATGTCTGGAGTTTTGTGTATATGTATGTGGAATTTGTAACTAATTTAAGTTTTTTTAAAAAATGGTTGTAATACTATTAAGATTTTTCTATATTTTTACTCATTTTGTTATATTTTTCTAAGAATTTATCCATTTTAGGTTTCCAAACTTATTGTCAGAGTTGTTTATAATATCTTCATTTTAAAATGTGTCTAGCATGTTTTTATATCCTCCTTTTACTCCAAACTTTTTTTTGCTTATTCATCTTTCCCTTTTTTTTCCTGATCGATAATGCCAAAAGTGTGTCAATTTTTAGTTTTTTGAGGAAACAACTTCAGCTTTCTTTGTCCTCTTTATAGTAGTACTCCCTTAAATCCATAGTTTTTGCTTTCCATGGTGCCAGTTACCCACTGTAATTCACTGTCTGAAAATACTAAATGGAAAATTCCATAAATAAATGATTGACAATATGGTCTTAGAAAGCTTTTATTACAGTATATTGAAATAATTGTCCTATTTTAATATTAGTCATTGTTAATCTCTTACTGTGTCTGATTTATAAATTAAAGTTCACTATAGGTATGTATGTTTAGGAAACAACAGAGTATATAAACTTTAGTACTACCTGTGGCTTTAGGCATCCCTTATGAGTCTTGGAATGTATTTCCTGTGGATAAGAGGAACTGTAGGGCTGGGGATATAGCTCAGTGGCACAGATGTGTGCCTGGCAAGCGCAAGCTCCTGAGTTTGATTCCTGGTACCAAAAAAAGAAAAAATAGGTACTATTGTATTACATTTTCTATTTTGTTAATACTGACTTTATTTATCCTAATGTGGATTTTCTTATTCAAATTGGATATTTAGCTGACTATTTTTAGCCTGGTTTATAAGTTTTTGTTTTTTTTCTTGAGACAGGCTCTCACTATGTAGTGGAGGCTAGTTTTGAACTCACTTATATAGCCCAGGCTGGCCTCAAACTCATGGCAATCCTCCTGCCTCAATATCCTGAGTGCTAGGATTACAGGCATGCACCACCACACCTGGCTGGTTTATAAGTTTTAATGCTTTTTATTTCTCTCTAAATACTGCTTTATTTGTATCTAATAGGTTTTGATATATAGTATTTTAATAATATTTTATGATTTCTATTGTTTTTAATTGACTAAAATATTAAAGTATAGTAATGTTCTAATACTGTTTTTCTCCCTGTTTTTGTTATTGATTTTGAACTGACTTCATTGTATTATAAGAATATAGTTTATGTACCAGTTATTTGAAATTTGCTGAGATTTTATGAGTGGCCCCAAATACGAGATTAATGTTCAGAAATGTTTCACTTGCATTTCAAAAATACATATTCTCCAATAATCTATAATGTCCTATGTGTCGCTGTTACATCAAATTTGGTAATTGTGTTGCTTCAAGAAACCTTACTGACTTTTTTGTTTGAGTTCTTATTACTGGGAGAGATATATTAAAATTTCTCATTATGATTATGGACTTGTGATTGTGTCCATTTTACTTTGTATATTTTGGTATGTTATTAGATGTGTAAGAGTATTAAAGATTTATGAGTTTTATTTTTTATTATTTTGACTTTTAAAATTTTCTAATAGTTAACATCTAGTAATATCTTTTGCCTTAGAAGTCCATTTTGTGTGTATATTTATTTTTGTAAATAGCATACAGCTGTTTTCATTCCAGATTCTGTTTTTACCTGAAGCAGTTGTTACTGAAATTTTTTGTAACTATTGATCTATTATTACTTTATCTCTGTTCTCTTATTGTTAGTTTTTATTCCACTGTCTTCATTCCCTTTACCTTCATTTCCTGCCTTCTTTTAGATTGAGATTTTCCTCCTCTTTGTTCAATGTTTCCTTTACTGTTCTTGAAATTTAGTATTGTTCCTTTAATGATTATAAATTTTACATAATAATTCATGCTGGGTATGGTGGTGCACACCTATTAATCCCAGTACTCAGGAGGCTGAGGCAGGAGGATCACCACAGGTTTGAGGCCATCCTGGACTATGTAGTGAGTTTAAGGCCAGCCTGAGTGAAATCTTGTCTCAAAAAAACAAAAAACAAACAACCCCCCCCCCAATTTAATTCATTATAGTCTAACTTCACAGGACACTGTTGATACTGTTTTTAAAATCTTTGCTAATGCTTGTTTTGCTTTTGTTCCTAGAAAATATTTTGACTGGGATATTAAAATTTTGTTCTTTGCTTTCAAGATAACCACTTCCATGTCTTCTGACTTTCTTCAGAGATCAACTGTCAGTTTAACTGATGCTCTTTGAAGGTCATCTTTTTCTTCCCTCTCCAGTCCAGCTGCTTCTGAGATTTTACTGTCTTAGTGATCTTGTAATTTCACTATATTGTATTTAGCCACATATGTGTTTTTATTTACCTTAGTTGGTATTTGTTGTGCTCACTTTGGCAGCACATATACCTTAGTTGGGATTTGTGGAGCTTATTTGTATTTTTCATGAGTTTTTGGAAATTTTTAGGCTTTAACTCTTCAAATATTGCTTCTGTTCTATTTATTTAAATTATTTTTCTCCTTCTGAAACAGATTTAGATACAAGTGGGATCTTCTAACTTTATCCTTCATGTCTCCTAACTTTTTATATTTTTCACCTCTTTGTGTCTTTGTGTTACGTTCTAGATTTCTTCAGATCTCACTTCTATATCATTAATACTCTCTTCAGCTGTGTAAATTTTGTTACAATATTATTCACTATTTTTAGTGATGTAAGTTTTCTTCTGGAGCTTTAAAATTTTTTAAATATCTGAGTATGTTCAAAATGCCCTTCTGTTTCTAGAAATATATAAAACATGCTTATTTTCTATTCTGTGACTGGTAATTTCACTATATGGAGGAGTTTTATGTCTGATTCTGCCATCTGTTATTTCTGGTGGTCCTTGCTCTTCCATATGTGCTTAAAATTTTTATGCTGTGAATTGCTCATTTTTCATGCAACTTCATGACTGGGTTTCATTAGGGCCTGGAATGAAGGGGAAATCCACCCAAGGGGACTTGTTTGCTTCTGTGAGGTGACTGAAAACACTGCCAAATTAGGACCATTGTAGAGTTTTTGCTAGGCTAGGGGTTTTATTGTACTATTCGGGTAGTGTGTAGTTGGGCTGCAAAATCAACCAAGCAATTACTCTGTTAGGACCAACTTTTTTCCAGCTAGAGTAGCAGTATGAAGTTGTGCATTGCTAGCTAGCTTCATTAACCTTGGTTGCTTTTGTGCACTGCGGTTTCACCTTTAAATTTCTCTCTCTGGCATCTTCTCCCCTCTTCCCTCATGCTGAGCCCTGGCCCTGCAGATAGGGGACCTTAGGTGTCCTATTTATCTTTTGAGATTCCTTCAGACCCCTACCCAAGTCTGTAAGGGGCAACTCATTTAACTCTAGTGGAGGAAATAAGTTTCTTGGATCCCTCAGTTCAGTTCCTCCCTAGTTACATCTCTGAAGATCCTTCCCAACTTGATACTGCTGCTCTAGCTGGTCTTCCTGTCCTAAATTCATTCAACTGTTTACTAAGCACCTATTTTGTGCCAGGCCCTGGGGACTGTTACACTGTATGAGACAAGATTCCTGTTTCATGAAGCTCACAGCTCCTTGTGGTTAAGGTGGGTTGGTGGCGGCAGGGGTGGGGGGCAAACAAATGTGTAAAATATGTGGTTATGCCAGATGGTGACCAGAGTGCAGTGGAGAAAAAGGGAGCCGCGTGTAGCTTTCTAGTTTGGGTATTTGCAGGTCAGCACTGCCCCCTCACACCCTGTGAGTCCTTCAAAACTGTTCAGAAAAAAATTTAGCCTTATTTGTGCAATTATTCTCCCATCAGCTTGTCAAAGTTTGAAACTTTGTAATGGTAGGATTTTAATAGGATCATGTTGAATGTGTAGATCTGGGGCTGACATGACTGAGTTTACCCGTTAGCAAAGACAGCACTTTCCCTGTAAATTCAGATCTTTTCAATTATAGCCGTAAAGGTCTTTTATGTATCTCTTTGTCAGATATATCTGTGGCCCCTTTAGCTTATGTTGCAGAAATAGATAGATAGATAGATAGATAGATAGATATAATTTTTGGTTTTTGTTTAGTTTTGTTTTTTGAGTCTATGTAGTTTTGGTTGGCTTCAAATTCACTGACCCAGGCTGGCCTCAAACTCATAGCAATCCTCCTGTCTCAGCCACCCAAGCACTGGGATTACAGGTATGTGCCACTATGCCCAGCTAGAACTTGTGTACTTTTTTCAGTGGTGGCTGGTATATAGGGGACCACTAAGTACACATTGGTTTGTGTGCTGGTCAAAGTGGTCTTTCCATATTGCTCTAATGTCATTCCCTGGTCTAGTCCATTCCAGGCTCTTCAGATCCCTAACTCTACCTTAGCGGGCCAGCCTTTGTCGACTCTGGGCTTTGTCTGTGCAGCCTGTTTTCTCCCCTGCTGCCCCCTCGCCTTCCAGTGAGCACTGCCTCTCCAGCTCTTTTGTGGGGACTTCAGTGGCCACCTCCTCACAGATGGAGAAACAAGGCTGAGGAGGGAGCGCCATAGGCCAGCCCGCTGAGCTGGAGCAGCAAGGTATGATGAGAGCCCTGGCTCCCTGCCCTACCCCATCCTCTCACTTGGAAGCACCGGCAGTGGAGGATGACCCAGTGCGCAGACCACCAGCTGCTCTTGCTGGCTTTTAGTAGCTAGTGATCTCAGTTGTTGGACAACAGAAGTAGTCCAAGTCATGAATGTCAAGCACTGTGGAACTTACCAGGCCAGGCCTTCCTTCCTTGTCTTAGTCACTTTCCTCATGGCTGAGACACAGTACCCAACACCCACAACTTAAGGGAGGAGAGGTTTATTTTGGTTCACAGTTTCAGAGGTGTGGGGGTGTTGGCCAGAGGCATGTATGAGATGCAGAGACAAGGGACTTCTGGAGCCACACATCCAAAATCTCCCAGAACACATGGTTAGAGATTAAAAGATAGCCTACAGGGCCAAAAATCCAAGTAGAATCAAAACGCACTGCCTTAAGGAATGAATGGTCTGGCCCTCTCTTCCCCATACTCATAAATCAGAATGATTTATGACTTAGATTGTCCCTAAGGTCAATAAAGTAATAGACCATCCTGTTCTTCCCCTGTCCCCTACATGAATTCCTGTACAGATGTCCTTCTTTTGACCTTTATCCATGTTTTCTGATTCTATCAATAAAAATCCACAGAAGCTTCAGTTCAGGGCTGTCTTTATGAGGCTCTCCCACTGCTGGGGGTCTCTGTTAAGGGCAGTCCCTCTGGACCTTCTTAGAGTTTGGACATTGACTCTGAGTAATCTCTCACTTGTTGTGGTGTGCCAGGTTGTGAACTGTGACACAGAATTCCCAGTCCATGCATGGTTGAAAAAAACCCCAGCATGAGAAGAGCCTGCTAATAGAAAGTTGCTTATGTCATGGCAGCCAGGAAGCAGGGAGCAGGGAGAGAGAGACACACCCTTCCAGGTCACACCTGCAGTGACTCCCCTCTTTTGGTCAGGCCTCACTTCCCAACAGGATCCTCAGCCACTAAACTCACCGGTAGATGAATTTGCCCGTAAGTACAGTGCCCCATGATCCAGCCATCTTTGGAGGGACGGTTTGGATCTAAACCATAACACTCATGGAGGGCTGTGGGTGCCTTGACCCCATCCTAGACAGCCCCAGAAACTGAGGGACAGAAAGGGGCCCCTGGAGGTCTCCAGTTGACTCACACACTGCCTTTCTGGGATGATGCAGACTGGGTGCAGTCATCAGGGTAGCCCCTGGCAGAGCTGTGACCTTTCCCTTAGGTTGGTGATACATGGTGCTCGCTCAGCCCTGGGCAGCCTTCCTGGCACAGACCTAGCAGAACAAAGCCCCACCATCCTTCCCCCATGCTGCCCCAGGACTGTCATCTGCTGCCTTTGTTAGTCCCCTTCCTCCAGCCACAGATAGACTCAGGGATAGGGTAGTGGAAAATCCAAAGCCAAGGGTTTTTATTAGGGGTCAAAAGCTGCTTGCTCACAAACAGTGTCAGGAAGCTCCGTTCCATAGCTCTGAGGGGAGGCTCCACGGCCCCCCAGCCCGCCCTTCTGGAGTGGGCATCATAAGGCATTTCACACGTTGGTGTTTTCACTTTTGTTTTTTGTTTTTGTTTTTGTTTTTTATAAAAAAAACCAGTCCTAGAGTAGAAAGAAAAACCCCCACAGTGAACTTTCAGGACCAAACTGAAGTGGGAAAAGTTGGAGCAGGGGTTTCTGAGGGCTGGGACCGTGGCCACAGTGGCCCAGTCCCCTTAAGGTTAGCAGAAGCCACTGGAGGGGTCTGAGGAGAGGGCAGGGCACAGCTTATGGGAGCCAAACTCAGACAGGTGTGCCCTGTCTTCATCATTTTTCACTTTTACATACTATAGAAATTTAAGCAAAATAGCTATTATATATTTATATATCTCATATATATATATATAAATTAGGCAAATAAGAGTTCAGGGGGTGCTGAGACGGGCCACCCCTGGAGCCACCTGAGGATGAGGTGGGATACCAGGTCTGTGGTGCCCGGGTCACCAGCCCAGGCTGTGCAGAGGGTTTGTTTGTTATTGCTGACTTGGGGCCTGGTTCTCAGGATGAGGAGCACCGGTGGGCGCTCTCTTTCCGCCCTTTCTGGCCAGGTTGGGGCTAGGGTGCTGCCCCAGCATGGCCAACACTGGGCAAGGAGCTGCTGTCCTCAGTCCACACGGGGGCGCTCAGGAGTCCCCCACCCCAATCACGGATTGTCACTCCAAAGACCATTTGTGCTCCGCTGGCCCAGGGCAGACCCCTTCTGCTCCAGGTGGATGGGTAGCTCAGGTAGAAAGCGGGCCTTCCATGTTGAGCTACAAAATGTTCCCAATTCAAAGGGGTCTGGCTTCCTGATGTCTTAAAAAGGGATTCTTGCCAGGTCAATTTTGTGGCAAGAAAGCACACTTGGAAGGCTGTCTGCTAAGTGCTGTACTAAAAATACTAAACATCACGGCTGGAAAGAAAGGAAGGTCATTTTTCTTTTTCTAAAAAAGTGAAAAGAGGTTCCCAGGGAAGGGCCAGCTCCTCCCTGGGTTGGGGCTGGTGACCTGGGCATCCCATGGCCTAGGCCAGCCAGCCTGAGTTATAAGTGGGAGCTGGGGTGCCCATGGGGCCCAAGACCATGGTGAAGGGGCACAGGTGACCCGGTGCACCTAGGAGATGGAGAGAACCCGGGCCAGCACTTCCCCCTTCTAAGGTAGGAGCGCCCCAAACGTTTTCCTGTAAGGGGGCAGGGAAGAGGAAAGAAAATAGGGGGAGGCATTCAGTATTGAATTGAGTGCATGAAAGAAAAGGTGGGCCTGGCTGTGCAGGCCTTGTGTTTCGCTGCAGGGGTGGCACTCAGAAGATGTTGGGGCACGACTGCCAGTCCTGCTTCTCCTTGGCCTCCCAGTAGCCACCCTTGTACACGTAGGCCGTCTCTCTGGTGTGCGGGTCCAGTCTCTTCTCGAACCACAGCGGGACATACCCATCTGACTCCTTCTCTGCTGGGCACAGGCCAAGGTGGGTAAGCCGCTCTGCTTCCCCCAGATACTCCCCACCTGCCCGCCCCCTCCACCCGGGCTCACCTTCCTCCATGCCGCAGCTTCGGCCTGGTGTGCAGATCTCCAGTCTGCGGCGCCGCGACAGGCGCTGCTTCTCTTCCAGCCGCTGCTTCTCGGTGTTGGCCTGGTCCCAGCGTCCCTCTTCCATCAGCCGCTGGTCCGGCCGCAGGCGGCTGTCAGTGGGCGCCACTCCGCTCTCGGGCTCGTTGAGGGTCAGTGCAAGCTCAGAGAAGTAGTACATGTTCTCCGCGTTCTCCCTGTAACGGCGTGGGTGGGAAGGTTCTGTCTCTGCCACTCCCGTGATCCCAACCCCGCCTGGCCCTCCTGCTGCCCGCATCTGGGGCTCCCTCTGGCCTCAGCCGACCTTTTCCTGGTCCAGTGTCCATCCATGATGAACCAACCCTGCAAAACCCACCAGCTGTGTCTAAACCCTCTATGGCTTGCACCACCCCTTAATATGTGCCTCTACTGAACTCTTAACTGCTTTCCTACTAGAGACTTCTTTGGGAATTTGTCCTTGTCATCCAATTTTTCTAATCTGCCAGCATAATGTGGTTTTCTCATATCCTCATTGTTTTTGATCTGATAATGTCTGTGGCTTAACAATGTACCTTTTTGCATATAATATGTGTCTTCCATTTTGAACATCCACGCCAGATGTTTGACTTACTTTATTAATTGGTTGAAAATAAAACTTTGTCAATCTAATTTTAGGGCTTTCTGCCTTATAGATTTTGTTGTTATATTCCTCCCTTCTGTTTTAGGGGGAGGCTCATTTGCATTTTCCCCCTAACTTCTGGAGGTGGATGCTTAGCTCATATTTTTTTCTTTTCTAATATCATATGCATTTTAGGGCAATATATTTCACTCCAAGAATTGCTTTTAGCTGAATCCTGCCACTTTTGATATATTTTCTGATTCCTGTATCATATATGAGCAAGGATACTCATCTATATTTCTTTTTACTTAAAAGTATTAACTTTATTGTTTAACAATAAGGCAATATTTATTATAAGACCTCTGTCTGGAATTGATTTTTATTTTAAGAGAGGGATTCAGTTAATCTTTTTCTATTTTGTTTGTACAAGACCTGCTTTGCCAACTTAGTCATCTATCAAGGATACATACAGCCCAGGGACTGTTTCTAGGCTCACTTTTCCATTCTATCTTAGTTTCAAAATAAGTCCCCATATCTAGGAGGGTAATTCCTATTTTTTTTCTTCTGTTCTCCAGAAATGTTCTTTATTCAGAAATATAAATTTAAAAATTCTAATACGAAGTTTCATGACAATCCCAATATGCTGACTCTTTAAATCATGACATCTGTACAATACTCCTTCCACCCATGAATAATTTATCTTCTTCATTTATTTAGTACTTCCTTTGATAGCTCTTAGTAATTTTTTCTAATTTTCACTGTGGAAGTCTTGAATATACACATTATTACAAAGCCCTTGATATTTTTGATGTAATTGGTGTCTTGTGAATTGCATTTTCTAGTTGTTTGCTGTCAGTTTATAGAATGTTTTTGACTTTTGCATATTAATCTTATATATAGGCACCTAAAATGCTTTCTCTGAATCTATTGATGACTGTTAATATAATTTATGAGTTTTCCAATATAAAATAATTCTTGCAGACTTTAGATAATTATGATTGTAGATTATCTTTTTAATACACTGTTGGATTGGATTTTCTGATGTCTTGTAATTTTGCTTATATAAGTAAAATGGGGTAAAAATTTTATTTTCCTACTACTCTCTTAGCTGGTGTATAAAGGTTATTCTGGCCTCACAGTGTAGAATAGCAGACCATTTCCTCTTTTACATGGCAAGACTTTATATAAAATTAGTTAACATTTCTTGAGAATTTTATGAATTCACCTATAAAATTATCTGGGCCTTGTGTTTTCCTTAAAACCACTGCTTTAGTTTCGTTATCATAGGAGTATTTGCATATTTTTCTAGAATCAGTTCTTATAAGTATTGTTTTTCTAGGAATTTGTTCTTCCCACCTGAGTTTTAATTATCTCTTTAAAGTATATCTCTTTATACTCTACATGTACTATGAAACTTGATTGATTGGAATACTGAGGATGGAACCCAGGGGCATGCTACCACTGAACTACATTCCCAGCCCTTTTAAAAATTTTTATTTTGAGATAGGGTCTTACTAAGTCACTAAGTTGCCCAGGCTGGTCTTAAACTTGCAGTCCTCCTGCCTCAGCCTCCAAGAGTGCTGGTGTAGCAGAAAATGCCCCCCACCTCCAGCCAATATAGTTCAGTTTGTTAGTTGCCCAGGTAATAGTTCCTGTTACAGTTCTTGTTACTTTTGTTTCTTAGAAATGGCTGGTCACTGTGATGCATAGCTGGTCACTGTGATGCACATTGTAAGAACCAGTCAGAGACAATCTAGTGCTCTGCCTTTGTACTTCCCTTTGCAGACCCCATAAAAACCTCCCTCCCTGAGCTTTTGGGGCCTGATATTTTGGGAATGATCCCAGTCAATGCCCATTGACATAAAATAAATCTGCCTCCAAATCCTGGGTATTGTTTCAGTGTTTCTGCTTGCTGTTGCACTGGGATTACAGGAATAATATTTATTTCTATCTTGATCAGTCTTAGTAGTAGTTTTCTCTATTGTCACTTGTTTTGTTCTTTAAAGAGTCAATTATTGGCTTTATCAAACTTTGTTATATTTTCTTTCTGTATTCTTCTAGTTTCTGTCTTTTTAAAGGTATGTTTTCTTCTTTCTTTGGGAGTATATATGTTGAACTTTCTCTTTCAGAATGGAAACTGAGAAAAGAAAAAGCCTCAAAATTATAAAGTATTTAAAACAATACAGTATATTTCATTTGAGGCATTGCCTATCACATCCATCCACTTTTGGTATCTTTGATGTCATTCAGTTCTAAGTATTTCCATTCTGAGTTCTCACTTTACCTATGAGTTATTTAGGAGCTTAAGTTTTTCCTAAACATGTGGAGTATTCTTGTAATTTTGCTCTAATTTAAAGGTCGTATAGATCATACTCTGTAAGCTATCCTCTGTAAATTTGTTGAGGGTTTTATGATCTAAAACATGATTGATTTTTACAGATACATTCCATGTGTAATTGAGAAAGTGTGGATTCTCCAGCTGCTGCATTTATATATTTACATATAGTTGTGTTCTTTCAAGCTTCTTCATGTCCTTCCTTTTTTTTTGCACAATCAATAAGTGAGAGGGGTGTATTGAAATCTCCCAGTTTCCTAGGATGGTGAGAGACTCACTGTATTTCTTCCTTGGGTATCAATATGTGCTTTCTGTATTTGAGGTTGCTTTTTTACATGTCTAATATGTGAAATTTATGAGTTTCTTAATGAAATTAACCTTTCATGATATAGCAACTTTTCTTTCCTTAATATGCTTTCCTCCCCAAGTCTGTTTTACTTGGTACTAATATAACTATTACAGCTCTTTTGGTTCAATTTTCATGAAATGTCTCTCTTATTTACAATCTTTGCACATCTTTATGTTCTCTGTATCTCTTAGAAGGAGCATGTATGTGCATTCTAACAAAGCCACTCAGTATTTTGCTTTTGCCTATTTATTATTGATATGTTTGAACCTGCTTATGTTATTTTTGTTCTATTTTTTCATTTAATCTTCTCTTACTATTTTAAGAATCATATATATGTCCCTTCCTTCTAATAAAAACTTAGCATTTCTCCATATCCCTGGTGTCCTTCTTTTTCTTAAATCCTACCATGTTAACATTATCTAGACTTTTACTTCTGCATTATTATAAGCATATTTTATTTTTTCTTCCTAGTAATTGTTTAAAAAATAAATTTTACTTCATGTATCTATCAGAATATCTTCTGGATTTTTTTTTTGTTGTTGTTTTTTCTGGTACCTGGAATCGAACTCACAACCTCACGCTTGCCAGGCAAGTGCTGTGCCACTGAGCTAAATCCCCAGCCCCATCTTCTGGATTTTCTTCTCCCCTTTTAAGATTACTATGTCTGATACTATTTTCATTGTGATTCTTTTGTGTGACAAACCTGAGGCTGTATACCTAAAAAATTTTCTTATCAGGCTGGGGATTTAGCTCAGCTTCGCAGCGCCTGCCTGGCAAGCACAAGGTCGTGAGTTTGATTCCTGGTACTGGAAGAAAAACAATAACAACAAAAAAACCCAGAATTTTCTTATCATGGTCTCATATTTATTTTTTAGTTCTTTGAGATATATAATAGTTACATTCATTTTGGGGAATTTGTACATATGTGCATAGCAAGATAACTTCTTGATCAGTTCCAATGTCTTTATCCCATGGCCTCATATCTAAACAATTTAATTTCATTTTCTTCATACTTTGAAAATATTACTCAAGTCCTAGTTGTTGAAATATCAGACATCGGTCTGATTCTTCACCCTTGATTAAAATCTTTCACTCTTTGCTGGACACTGTTAGAATTTATTCTTTGGTAGTATTAATTTTGGCTATATCATGGTCTAGGTAAATGTTTTTCTTTATATCTTTCTTTATACTATCTAGATCCTTTTAAGCTAAGACCTTTTCATCTCTTTTATTTTGGGAAAAAATGTGTGCATTATTTTGATATTTTCCCTCTGCACAATTTTTTACCTACTTTCCTTTTCTTCTGGAATTCTTGTTAAATGTATTATTGTAGTGGTTACTCTAGAAATTACAATATCCATACTTCTACAGTCAAAAGTTAATGCATGCACATATGCAAAGGCTTGAACCCAGGGCCTCATGCATGCTAAACATGTGCTCTACCACTGATTTACATCCCCAGCCACTTAATGCATGTCTTGACCCTTCTTCCTGGATAGCACAGCTTTCCTCCATTTATTCCTCTTCTGACTTACATAATGGGGTGGTTGTAGTCTCAAATTTTAAACCCTATGAGACATTATTATTATTATCGCTTATTCAGGGTTCATTTAGATTTACATAGTTTTTATTCTTTACTCATTAATACGTCTCAAATCTTTTACCTAGGATCAGTTTTCTCCTGCCTGAGCTATGACCTTTAGCTACAGGTGTGTTGGTGGTCAACTAAATTTTTATTTGCCTGAAAAGGTCTTTATTTCAAGTTCATTTTTAAAAGACGGTTACTTCAGGTATATAATTCTAGGCTGAGAGTAAATCTTTCAGGACATGGAAGGAGTCATTTACCTGTCTTCAAGCTCCCATTATTGCTGATGAGAGGAGAGCTGTCAGGGTGCTATTTCTCAGCAAGTAATGTCTTTTAACAATCTGCCCACTTAATATTCTTTCTTTGCTTTAGTTTGAACAGTCTCACTATATAGATTCAGGTATAGCAAAGTGTCTTCTGTTTTCTCTTCTGAAGCAATCTCTGTGTCCTCCTAAGGCTCTGACTAGAAGTGTACTGGATGTTGTTCAGGTGCCCTGGGGACCTTACGATATTGCAGATTCCCACTCAGGAAGTCTGGCCAGTTCTGCGCACTAACAAGATCCCAGGGGATGTGGCAAGGCTGGGAACTTCAGTTGGCCTCTCACTCTAGCTCTTGTATTTTCCAGGTTTTATCTCTCTCATGCTATAGTGTGATCATTTCTTCTGACCTGTATTCAGGGAACACATTCTCTTGAAGCCTTTCCAGGGAGGTTTCAATTTGTTATTTTTCCTTTGCAGAATTTCTATTATGTTCTCTTTGGACTCTGCAGGCTACTTTTTATAGTTTTGTTTCCAACAAGTTATTATCAAGGTTTAGAAAGTTTTTCTCGTAGCCATGCAGGCAAAGATTCTGTCCTATCACCTGTTTAAAGTCTCTGCATAATATTTGCTGCCACATGATAGATTCATATTCATTTGCAGCTGGTGTCTGACTTCTACTCTGAGATGTCAGTCACATCATTCTCTGCCCTTACGTGAACTGAGCCCTTCTGACTTCCTGTGCTTTCTTTGAAGTGGTGTGGTGTCCTCTGGCTACTACCCTCTGGCTACCTTTCTCTCTCTCTCCCTTGGCCCCATTTCCTGAAGAGGGTCCCCAGCCCCTACTCACGGAAGCGGGTATTTCCTCCACAGCAGCTTGGCTGGTAGGGTCTGGTACACTGTCTTCTGCTTCCCATCAGAGCTGGGGCTGCTGGGGCTGCTCTGCACGACCTTGGAGCATTCCATCTGCTCATCCCATGAGCCTGACAGCACGTAGTGGACCTTTCCCTGGCTATCACTCACCACTCCAGTCACCTGTGGACATTTTCAGGACCAAAGTAAGCACACAGTCCACTCTGTGCCTCCTGGGGTTCTGAGCAGCAGCCCTGCTTACCTTTCGGGCTGCCTCTTTGGAGAAGTAGCTGTAGGGCACAAACTTCACCTGGCATCGGTCATTGGTCTTATGGTTCACAATCTCAATGTCCCCTGACTGGTGAGAGAAGGAAATGGTCAGTGACCAATGCCTGGGCCATACATACCCCACCAAGGGTATCCAGCCCTGACCTGGTCGATCCAGAGCTTGCCCACGATGATGTTGTGCACAGTTGAGGTGCTCTTCCTCCATACATAGTGATTTCCACTGGCCTGGAACTCTAAGTGAATGGCACCTGGAGGCCAGGTACAGGTCAGAGGTTATTGTTCTCTCATGCAGGGCTCAGGCCACTTCACCCATAGCCCAGGGTCTTGAGAACCAAAGGAATATCCATGCATGTTAGCGGGGGTAGGGTACATGTATTTGGTGTGTATGTTGGGGGGTAGACCTGTAGGGAGGTCTCCCCTGTGAGCTCCAGGTCAGCTTTTGGGTTGGCAAAATTCTCCCCGAGAAGCACAATGTCTTTCTGTCCCAGGAGCACCCAGAAGCTCAGCTTACCTAGTGGCATGATGGAGATATATTTTCCCCGGAACTTGCTGGCGATGGTGATCTCCTGCCAGAGGCTCCAGCCGTGCTTAGAAAATGCATAGTGGGCAGCTGATGGGGGGTGGTGGCTCACCTGGGATCAGACCAGCTGGGTGTGAGCATTACTGGGCATGGACCCACACAACCTTCCTGGCCAACGAGGGAGAGTCTGCCCTGTTCCCAGGATGCAAAGTGCTATGGCCATGGCATTGGGTCTAACTGCTTTTTTGGGTAGTGTTGAACCTAATGCAGGTCCCCAGGAGGGACCTGGGGATTGTTTTGGCTGTCCTGGGTCTTTGCCAGCCTATGGAAGTATGAAAGGGGCTTGGGGTACGTAGGCCTGGCTCTTGGGCTGGGTAATGTGTGTGATGGTGTGATGGTGGGCCTCTAGGACAGGCCCCGGAGAGACTGAGCCAAAGGCTAGTGAAATGAAAGGTGTTGCTCCACCAGGGCTTCCATGCCCATTTTCTCATTTAATCCCCACCACGCCCCTAGGAAAGAACATATCTGTCATGCAGTGCTACACTGTGGGAAGCTACCCAGACCAGTAAAGCCATTTTAATGGAGGGGCAGAGTCCAGCCTGACTCCTGAGTGAAGTCATATCAGTGTCCTGTTTCAGGCTTCATCTGTCCCCCACACTGGATTCCCTAGACCCCCCAACTTTCCTCTTACAGCGCTGGGCACCCTGCCTGCTGCCCCACCTTCTAGAGTCCCTGCTGCCTGGCCCTCTCCCACCCAGTGGCAGCACCACCAGTTCTCCATTTTCTTCCTCAGTCCACAGCTGCTGGGCTCTGCCTTGTTCAGCCTCCTCCCTCCCTGGGGCATGCCATGGTCTTTCCTGTGCCACTGCCCCACTCTACTAAAGCCACTCCCTTGCGCAAATGCAGGAACATGCCACCAAGGGGAGGGTCCAGAGCCCCCCATCATCCGCACCTTTGTCTTAGGCCTGTCCTGTCTTTCCAGCTATTCGCACCCAATGCTTTGGTGGTTTCCCAGCCCCTCCTTGTCACGTTCTCCATCAGATCCTTAACACCGTGTCTCTTCTTCCTTTGAAGTGTACCCAGCATCTGTCCTCCCTGGGGACCACTCTCCCCACTGTAGCCACCTCTCACACAGTAAGCCAAGGTAATCTGGCTGCCCAGCTGCTTCCCCTTCACCCTTATTTCCTCCTTTTGTCACACTCCCTGGGTCAGTCAAACCCCTCCCTGACTACCCCCTTTCTAAAGAACCAGAGGCATTTGTCACACAGTGGCTGCTTGTGTACCCCTAAACCCCATGACAACAGGAGCCACATCTGTCTACTCCCCATCTTACCCTCAGCACCCCATCAGCACTTGGGATGTTTAGGGCACTTAATGTTTGATGAATAAAGAAATGCATTAACTTAGGGTTTCAGGCCAAGGACCTTGGGGTTACCCCTGTCTGCCCTTTCACATCCAAAATGTTAGCAAACCTGCTAGCTCCACCTTCAAAGCCTGGCACTGTATCCTTGTGCAGTCATTGTGGTCCCCTCCTAATGGGTCCACAGCATTGCTTTCAAACTAGCAGTAAGATCAGCAAACTGTTGGCTTCCTGGCTAATCTCAGGAGCTAGAGCATCACCAGCACCAACAGAATTGCCTGTTTTCTGACAAGGACACTCAGGCTCAGCATCAGATGGTGATGACATTTCCAGCCTGGATCCTGGCTTGTCCCCATGGGGATGGGGTGGAGGTGAAGGCACTGGTCAGCGCAGCCTCCATCCTGTGCACAACTGGCCCAGGCTCCTCCTATCTGCCAACTTTTACCTCAGTGGTGACTTTACTTTCTGTTCTGCCTGGACTCCCAACAGCACCCTGCAGACATCCCTCCACCTCTGTCCCATGGTACTCTGGCTGGGAGGTGAGTCTTCCTCTTCTTTGACACCAGACCTATCTCTGTCCCACCAAGCTGTCCTCTCATGCCTCTCTCTGTCTCTGGGAAGCCTGGCAGGAGCTGCATGGGAAGAGTATGAGTGGGCCCTGACCACTGCCAGGCTGGTGGGCCTAACCTGCTCACAGAGGGAGCGCAGGCCCATGTCTTCCAGGCGGTCCAGCTCAAAGGTCTCCCCCAACATGGGGTTGAAGGGCTTGGCTATGCGGTGCACAGTGGTGGAATAGGAGGATATAGAGAAGGCAGCCACCAGGCACATCTGCTCCACGGAACTGGAGCAGTGTACCGCCTTGTCCAGCAGGTGGTGGTACTCTAGGTCCTCGGTCAGCCGCTGGAGCATGGACAGGGGCTCATTGAAGTTCACCTGCGGGCAGTAGGGAAACAGGTCAGGCCAGGCACCAGTCCCTGGATCATGATAGCACCTCTGCTGTTCTGAGACATTCAGGCGACAGCACTACTCTGATGAGGCTCACTTACTCAAACATTAAGTGCCCTGAACATCGCAGGTGATGACGGGGTGCTGAGGGTAAGACGGGGAGCAGACAGATGTGGCTCCTGTTGTCATGGGGCTTAGGGGACATGTCAGCTGGGCTGTGCAGCACCTCAGCCCCACCAGAAACCTCTCTAGGCCCTCTGCCTCAGTTTCCTCTGCAGCATGCACCACTTTCTGGCATGCTCTGCCATATACTTTCATGATGTTTACAGTCACTGCAACAGAATTAACTAGTGGAAAGTCCACAAAGGCCAAGGTATTTGGCCTCCCACTGCTGTATGGTAAATGCTGACTCGTCAGAATCAGAATGAATAAGCATATCCGTGGTCGGAGGCAGTAGGTCTTCCTCATATTCTGTGCTGTGATCTAAGTTTTCTGTTGAGGGCTCTTGTGGAGGGGCCTGTGAGGATAGGTGTGGCTCAGGGGCCCCTACCAGCCTCAGGCAAAGCAAGGTTATCACATTCCCAAAGTGATGTAGTCTTCCGGCATTTGCTTGCTCCATCCTCCCAGACACTGAAGGGGGTGCTGTGATTCCATTTTTGCAGATTGTACACAGAGCCAGAGATGGGTACGGACTCATGAGTCACAGAGCAAAACTCACCAGCCTAGAGCCCTCAGGCTCTTCCTTGGTGGAGATGCTACTGCAATGTGGTAGAACAAGGACCCCAGTTCTGCTTTTAGACTATTATATGACCTTGCTAAGCCTCCCTTTCCTGGGAGGGCTACTCAAACACAAGGCCCACATCTGCTACTCTCCTTACTAAGTGGAGACAGCTGAGGCATTGTGCGGCACAGTGTCCCAGATCTGCCTCATACGAAACTGTTTAGGCAGAGCCAGCCTGCCCTTCCTGCCAGCAAGGTGCTGGCAGCCAGCTGCTGCTGCTGGTCTCTACATTTTAGTACACAGAGAGCTCTCCCCTGGCTCCTTCCCTCAGAGTCTGAGGACCTCTGCTCTTGGAAGGACTGGCTGATGAACACAGTTACATAGTTACATTCTCTTCAGGTGCCATTAAGAAATTGACATCCTGGGGCTGTGGAGATGTCATAGCCCAGAAGGCCACGACAGCCTGCATGCCCAGGGCCACCTACTGGCATGGGGATCCTGGAGAGCTCACGACCAATGCAGTTCTTCATGATGCTCCAAAGGTTAAGGCTGTAGTTGGGCTTGTCAGGGATGCGGGCGCGCCTCTTGACTTTGTATGAGCCCTTGGGCACAAGTGAGGCACCATCTAGCACCTGTAGAGAAGCAAGACTCATGTCAGAGGATGCCAGAGCCCTCTCTGCCCTCCAAGTCCATTCCCTCACTTCTGACCTTCCAAGAGCTAGCGCTAAACTGGCTGCTGGCACATGGCCAATGGGAGAGGCAGGCTGGCTCTGCTTGAACTGCTACCCGGGAGGCAGATCTGAGATCCAGTGGTGGTCCTGAGCTGGCAGTGCTGGCCTCTCCCCTCAGCCACCTGGAACCTGGCCTTGGGTGCTCCTACCTCACTTACATTGTCTGCCGTGGTCCAATCTACAGTTCCACCTGTGCTGGTTCCACCTTCAGCTTTTCTGCATGAAATAAAAGGTAAGATAAGTTATGGACAAATCCTGAGGCTTCCTTATTACCCATGCCATGTCCTGTGAGGGGGAACCTCAAGGCAGTTTCTCCAACAGGCCATCTCCAATTCTGGATACTCAAGGTGGGGGCCAAGGGACACAGGTAGCAATCTGAAGAGGGCCCATTCACCAGTGTCCCCACAACAGGTACTTAGCAAAGCTCCTGTCTGGAGTCCCTGTACCCAGTCCAAGAGGAGGCCAGGGCCTAGGTACCTCCTCTGGGAGTGTCTCACTGAGCTCTGTAGACATCTTCTTGTCCCAGAGAGCCTACTGCACCCTTACTGTCTGCTGCTCTGACTCCCACACTATCTGGGGCTCTTGAAGGGCAGAAGTGGTTCTGACATTTCCCCTGTCCAGTATTTAGGGGGATGGCTGGCCATAGCAGCGGACAATACCAGGGCTGGGGCTGGAAACTGGCACTTGGCAGCCAGGGTCTCAAGGGATGAGCAGAAAGCCCCTGGGTCCTGAGGAACTCAGATCCTGGGTGCTCCAGGCACAGAAGGGGTAGGCAGAGGCTGGGGACAGCTGAGAAGGACCTTCCTGGCAGCACAGCCAAGAGGGTGATGGTTCTGGTGATTGAGTGGAAAGAAGTTGAGGGTAACCAAACCGTGCTAATATTGAGAGCAATGTAAGCAAGTTTAAAATGTTACTGGGAAATAGAAAATAATTGGAATAATTCCAATTACTGAATTGGAAATACATTGCTACACACTATCTAGATGGGACTAGATAACTCTTTCTCTGGAAGACACTGGGCCAGGGAAGTGATAAAGCAGCTCAGTCTGTCAATGCCTTGCCTACCCGGGCTATGGTTTGGCCACAGCTGGTGCTAAACTGCTTGCCCATCTCATGCTTTACCTTGCACCCGCATGGGTCACACTCATGGGAATCACCTGTGGATCTAAGAGTCTGACAACAATGTCTTTATTGCTAGGAAATGTGCTGGAGACTACTATATGTTCATGGGTTTAGAAACTTCTCAAAAGAGCAGGCTTTTATGAAAAATGCAACAAAGGCTTAGAAACAGAAAATAGTTTTCCTGCATCTTTGTTTTCAAATGATGATGCCATGGAGAGAGACATTAGGACCTCATGCAGCTCTGAGGCAAGACGAATAGCTGGGGCCTTCTGGATCTTCCCCTACCCCTGGGCTGGAACTGCACCGAGCCAATTCCCTGTTCTGTCTCCATTTTAAATAAAAATCTTGATACAAACTTTAAGTAGACATTTTTGGTGTAAATAAGAATAAAATCTAAGCAAAAATGCTATCTGGAACAAGACTTGAAAGAAAACCGTAGTACACAGCTGGTTAAAAGAGCAGAGGGGCTAGATGTGGTGATACATGCCTGTCATCCCAGCACTCTTGGAGACTGAGGCAGGAGAATCATGAGTTTGAGTCCAACCTGGGCAGTTAATGACTTAGCATGACCTTGTCTCAACCTTGACTGTACCTAGTCCAAAAAATTTTTTAACCCCCAGCAAAGAAACAAAACCAGAGGGAGCCAGTGCCAGGCATGTTAGTACCCACCTGTAATCCCAGCACTTGGGAGGCTGAGGCAGAAGGACTGTCACAAGTTTGAGGCCAGCCTAAGCTACAGAGCGAGACCCTGTCTCAGAAAACCCCCAAATAACCAAAAAACAAAACCAAAAACCTGGAGCGGGCCTAAAAACAAGGTGGGAAGGGCTGACCCTGGGAGATGCTCATTCTACGCTGTTGGTGTCCCTGCTGGTGAGGGCAGGGGGTAGGAGGGTGCCTACCTATCTTCACTGGCCTCAGTGATCACGGTGATGAAGGATGTAGAGTCTTCCATGGCATCAAAGTACTCGGTATCTTCATCTTCCTCACTATCCTCTCCTTTGAGAGTCAAGAGGCTTCCTAGAGAGATACAGAGATTCTGCCTCAATTTGCAACCTCAGAAAGGGCTCCTCCAGCGGCCTGAAGTCCAGCACCAAGGCCTTTGCCCCACCCTGACCCCACTCCACTCCCCAGTCTAGTTACCTGGCCCTGTAACCCTGGACTGCTTGCTCCCTTCAGTGGGATAATACACTTCCTTTCAGTGCATTCATTGCTCAGATGATGCCTTCTGGAAATGTCCCCTAATCTCTCAACATGCTGGTCAGCTTGTCTGTAGCTCAGCTTCCCTTTCTGATAGACCCCCCCCACCCCCACTTTGGTATCTGTGGCCCCCCAGCCAAGGTTAGGTAGGTGGCCACCTGGCACCTGGGCAACCCTGTCACAGATGGGACATCTGAGCTTATTGAACTTTTGAGACTTTGCATTTATGTGTGCACATGCATACGTGTGCATGTATTTGGTGCTGGGGATTGAGCTTTATGCATGTAAGGCAAGCCCTCTGCTACTGAGCTATATTGCCCAGGCCAAACTTTTGAGAATTTAAACCTATGCATGGGGATACTTTTGCCAAATGGTGGCAGTACTAGACAAACAGCACTATGGAGAAAATAGGCTGGTGTTCATGGCCAAGTCAAGTCCAAACGCAGGTATGCGAAGATGTGTATGTGGATAGAGATTGGGGTGCACACCAGAAAACTAAGTGGAGTTACTTAGGGAATGGGTCAAGTGACAGGCCCCATCCTACCGGCTAGCACATGCCCACTCACCCTCGCTGAAGCTCTTGCTGGAGTTGGCAGGCCAACCAGGGCCACTGCGGAAGGCCCGCTCAAGGCTGTTGTGCTGCTTGGCCAACTGTTCAATGGTCTCTTCCAAATGGACACGCTGCTCCTGCTCATACTGCAGTGCCCGCTGCCATTTCCGGCTGTGTATCTCAGCTAATTCCAAGAAGTCCCTGCAGGCCTAGAAGGGACAAGTGGCTGTGTGAACTCTGGGCAGTGGGGGAAACCCAGGGGATACCATCTAGCCTCCCTTCTTTTTGCTGGGGTGGTCAGAAAGTGTCCACTGTCCCTCTGGTTTTCAAAGGGCTATGGAAACCCTGGCCTTCTCAGAGTCAGCTTAGGACCTGGCACCTATCCTGGTCACTTGCCCTGGGCAGGATACCCTTTGGAGCACACCCATCTGGAGGTCACCAGTGGATATGCTCCCTCCCTGATGCTGGAGGATACTGAGTTTCTGCTTATCGTAGCTGGGATTTTAGCTCTCAGCTGCCATGTATTCATTGTGTGCCAGGCCTGACATGTCACCAGTGTGTGTTCCCACTGGAGAGATCAGGCTAGTGCCTGACTTTGATACAGAAGAAAAGAAAGCCACATTCTGCTAGACTGTTTGGTTTGGAGAGGTGACAAGTCTTATCTGGCAGAAGAGCTGGAACTTTCCACCAAATACCTTATAGTGTTCATTATGGTTCTCCTTCAAGTTTGAGGCCTATCATAACATCCAGATTCTTTTCAAGTCCATAGACAGTTCCATCCCACTTCTATGAAGCAGGCGTTGGTCAACCTGCCCCTGTCATTACAGTAGGGAGGAAGATGCACGCCTCAACCATCTTGGAGGGCAGTGATGTCCAAGCCAGGTACTTCTGGATTTTCCCTTTCCAGACACTTTTTTGAGCTCATATTTCCTGGGTCCAAGTCTGCATGAGCACTCTCACTGCTGCTCTGTCTTCCCAACCCTTGCTGTACCCACACACCCGGAACACTGCTGGGCTGCACGCATGCCACATGTCCAACCCCACTGGTCTACAAGGTACTTGCGTGGAGGAAGGTGGGCACGTGGACCCCACTGTGACACAGGCCAAAGCAGCATTATCCTAAAGGACTGTCAGGAAGAAGTGGGGAGGTGATTGGAAATGTTCTGAATCCAGGGCATTGGAAAAGGGAATGCTGGGCGGACATGTCCTTGTGGGCTGCCAGCTCTATCTGGTGCTCACAGCTTTGAAGGCCGGTTCTCACCATTCCTCAGACCTGTGTTTCACCTGCAGGAACCCCAGCCTGCTGCCGTCAGCCCCGCCCAGTCACCACCCCTGCAACAGCACATTGGCAAAGTTTGGCCAACTCTCTGACCCTTGCCTGTTCCTCTTCATAATAACTGGCTTCCTGTGGGACTCCAGAACTCAGCAGGCATTCCAGCATGTGTGCCAGCCCCTATAGGGGTGGAGCAGGAGTGGTGGGAGGTGTCTTGAGGCCTCCTCTGAGGAGCAAGTTTGGACCAGCCCCTCCAAGGTGGGAAGGCTCCCTGTGGCTTGCTTACCTCTCCAGGGACAGCCTAAGTCCTGGTGGACACCCAGGCTTGATGACAACCTCTCCCCTAGTCTGGGGTTTGAGAGGGCTGGCTGCTCAGCCTGTTCCAGCATGTCACGCTTTAACGTCTCTCCCCTAGGCATCTTCCTGCACCACCCACCCCCATACAGGGAGAGGTAAGATAGGCCTGAGAATGGGATATGATCTTCCCAAGAAAAGCAGCAAAATATAGTGGGAAAAGGCACGCAGGGACAGTCAAAAGACCTGGGTTCTGGCAAAGCTACTCGGCCCTTCTGAGCCCTTGTCCCTGGTGTGAGGTGGAACAGTAACGTCTGACATACCACGCACTCACAGACTATACTGTCCCAGCTCATTCAGCAAAATCCTCAAGGTAAGAGGAATGGGATCATTCTCATTTAATAGATGGGGAAAGTGAGGCTCTATTCCTGGCAGGCTCTCAGGAGGCGCATTTACTGCAACCTCAGGTTGAGAATCCTCCCCTGCCTCCCCTGTAAGGCCTGGGTGCTGGTCCCCACCTGACCGCACCTAAGCAGGGATTTGTACTGATGGGTGTACTGGAACAGGACTGGGTCGGGGAGGGCGGGGCGCTCAGGCTTGGAAAGAAACCTTATTTCATGTGCTTAACAGGGTCCTGAAGACAGAGCGGTTGAAGATTTAGGACTACTTTGACTTTGGAAATTATGGCTCTGTAAGGTTCCCCAGCAGATGTGGAGCCTCAGTCACTGGCTACCATGTAATTTGGAGACCCGGAAGTGGGCTTGGGTGGATCCTAAGAGACCTGGCTTCAGGCCTGACTCTACTTCTGCCTGTCTCAGGACCTGGAGACAAGGTCCTCACAGATGTAAGTCCTACAGTGGCCTCCCTATGTCATCCAGAGCCCTGTCCCGTCCTCACTGCTGTAGGTCTCAGGGTAGGGGCCCTGTCAACAGACACAGTGACAATGTGCCCTGTGGCCAGACCCATGAATGCTGCTCACTTCTGCTTCCCACAGCCTTAAGCTCAGGCCCTGTGCCTCATCAAGTTAGTCACAGTTCCTCCACCTGTTCGCTGGCCAAGGAAGGGGTCCCTGACACTGCTGGGCTGCTGTTCCTGGGCCATTGGGATGGCCATCTGGCAAGCTAGCCTCAAGGCAGGATGGAGTGCATGCGAGAAACTCATTAGATTCCTGGTACCATCGAGAAGCACCTGTCTCTCCCTAGGTGGTGTCCAGTGGGCTGCTTCAAGGTTCTTATAGCTGTGCCTGTGATAGTGTTCGTGCTCTCTCGTACCACGCTTGAGACTGAAGCCCAGGGAGAGGATTTGTCCAGGTCAACAAGGGGTGAGCAGGGTGACATCGTGGAGGGTCTGCTTCATGCTCCCTCTACACATTTGGGCCACTCCATTCTAGGAGGACCACACAAGGTCCTTTGGCTGAGAGCGAGGGTAGAGGCCAGGGCTATGCTTGCATGGAGCCCTGTTACGGCTGGGAGATACCAATGTTTCCCAAGTTCTTGTTGTTGTGTTTGTACCCTGCCTGGTGGCCTAGCAGCTATGCACAGCCCCTCACCTCTGTTCCCCCCTCCCCATCCTATCTGCTTCATGGCTTCCTGCCAACTCTCTACATCCCCTGGAATCATCTGTCAGTGTGTATCAACGTAGATGCATATTTTTCTGTCATATAATATATATCCTTTTAATCAATACTTCTAAAAGAGCCACATAACAACAGTAATAATTCCCACAAGTCCATAGCAGAGGGCATCTGGGCTTCTCATGAGCAAAAGTAAGAAGACAATCACAGAGCAAAGGTGAATTGGTTCCCTACTGCCTACCTTTGCTGTTCATGGGCTCTAAATACTCTGGAAATGATTATTTTTCTCCTCTGGGGGTAAATGGAGTGTCTTGGACAGACATGGATGGCTGACAGTCTCATATACCTGGCCCCAGCACATCTCCCCCAATCCCTCCCATGTGGCACAGCATGCATGGTACACCACATGTGATGGCTTCCTGCGATCCCCACCCCATTGCATACACAGCTGGTTATTCTGCTACGGCCCCACCTCCCTCACCCGGTGCTTGCTGTGGTCAGTGCTGTTCGGGGCATTCTCATGGTATTAAGATAGCCATTTCTCTAGCAAGTATGACCAAGGATGATACACGAGTACAAGAGGCAGTGCAGGCGGGCAAGGAGGCCAAGGGTCTTGCCCAAGGAGATGTGTGCAGAGCCAGGGTCTAAACCCATGTGCACTCCACCTGCCTGTCTCCCAGGGGTTAGAACCAACATTGTTAATTCATTTTACAAAGCTGGGTCTTCACTGCCATGGGGGAATCCCTTGATGGTAGGCATTGCTAGAACCTGTGGTCTTCTTGGGTTCCTGGGAGATGCTCACTGACAAGGATGTCTGGGAACATCCTTGTTCCAGCCCTGGCCTAGGGAGAGGAGGCTGCCTCTCAGTGTAGCAGACTGCTGGCTGATAAAGCTGGCCATATATGACATCCATCTACAACACTGTTACCACAGGGCCGACTGGTATAGCACAGCAGTGAGACAGGAAGTCAAATCTCCTGGGCAACTGGGGCCTCATGTGGGCCACATATGGCCAGGCAAGGCACATGTAGCTTGTAGGCTATCATGCAGATTGACGAGGGGGGTGGGGGGAGGCCGCTGTACCCTAAGATCGAAGGGCTCATGTGCCCTGCTTACTCTGTGGACTGCAGAAGCATTTCTGCCCCTCAACCGTGATATACTCACCTGGTGTCCATCCCTAGCTCCCAGGGTCTCCTCTGCTGCTGCTGGCCTTCTCCAGGCCCCATCCTGGCTGTGCGGTGGAGACAGACAGGTGCCTGGCTGGCCCTGCTGCCCTGGAATGCTGAGCTGGGCAGTGCCCTGTGGGCTGTACATTCACTAAGCCGGATTAAGCCCAGGGCTCAGTAGAGGGGCAGGCGAGGGGAAAACTCCTAGCTAGGGGAAGGCTGGGCTGACCCAGCGAAGGCCTGAACAGGGTCACATTTCCTCTGTAACAACTATACCTGCAGCTCATAAACACCTCTCTGTAGGAGAAACTTGGGCTGACCCACAGCCTCCAAATCATACCATACTCATGTCCTGATTCACTCGAGGGAACACGGATGGAGTCTATCTGGTAGCCAGAGCCAGTGTCAGTGCATGGGTATGGCCTTGCCTTGGGATAAGTCTGTAACCTCTTAGGACTCTGTATCCTTGTGGGATGACCCCAAAATTCCAGAGTATTCATGATTTTGTGATCCATTGGGTTCATTGTCCTCAGAATTGAGACAGGGTTCCATTTCCTGGTCCTTCCCCTTCCTTCTACCCCCAGGACTGCCAAAAGTGTCCTGATTAAAATAAAAAAAAAAAAAGCAACAGGGAACATGGGTGCTCCTGAGATGTAGAGGGACTGCCAGGAGGGTGGGGGGGGTGGTGTTTCCAGGCAGTATAGGGAGCCTGCTGAGAGACCCTGAAGCACAGTGAGAACCTTGAGACCCAGAACAGAAAAGGTGGGCCTCCCACACCAGGGCTGGCCCTGCCTGGCCCCAGGCTGGAAAGTCCCAGCTGCCCAGCTTACCCTTCTCAGAAGCCCGAACCTGGGAAGGAGGTTGGGAGGGCTGTCCACCCAAAGGAAACCGAGTTGGGCTATG